AATGGGATGGGGTTTGCTCTCTATTTATGTGTTGCACATAAATAGAGAACAAAACCCCTCCCCTTTTAGCACTGAAGAAATTACCTAGCCGGGGAATGAAACGTTTGCAAGAAAAGAACCAAGCTCAGAGAACCCCAAGGACGCCACAGTTCAACCCTGAGCTACACATATTCACCTCTATTAGAATAAAGAGTTGTACAAAACATGCTCTAACACACCATTTCTCGATCAGCAGGTTCAGTGTGACCCAACTCTGTCTTTTAGTTGTCAAAGATGCTAAGCCACCTGATAAATCAGTCTGACTCCTGAAAAAGTTATTTCCACTGAAAATACAGATGCATTAAAATGGGGAAAGGGCTAATGAAAGTAATGGCCACATCTGCACAACAGCAACAACCAAAAGTTGTAATTCGCTGTTCAGACGCATCTTTTCTATGCTGAAATAAATAACAGTAGGATGCAAGCTTTGGGTTCACTTGCACAACTCCAACAGGGAAAAAAGTCCAAAGCAAGTGTTGGGCTGCAGTCTTTCATGCAAAGCCCCAATTTGCAATAAAAATTGTGCAAATAGTGGTGGAGTGTCATCTTCTGAAGTCAAATCCCTCCAGGATGAAGTGGGACCTAGGCAGCTCGATAAATAGGCTGTGGAAGGGCTGAGAGGAAGCAGGCAGCTCACACGGACCACAGAAGAATAAAATAAGTACAGAGTAATCTTTCTCCTGAAACAGGAGCCTCATGTCCAATCCAGAAGTTCAACAGGCACAGCCTTTCCCCCTCAGGAATACACAGCAATAAGGGACTACGTGTCTTGAGCTGTTCTTTAGCGAAAGCATAAAGCCTGTTGAAAGCTTCTATAAATGCAATATAAGTTTGTAAACTCCCGCCACAAGTCGCACATCACTTCAGAATCTCTCTAGTCTTCCCCCTCAGGCGCCATCCCGGTGCACTGAGACTACAACTCCCACCAACCCACCACAATAGCCCCTGCTGTCCGGGGGGTGATGGGAGTTGTAGTTCCTAGACACCCGGTGGGCGCCGAGTCGTCCCCTCGACTGGAAAACCCCAGGAGGCGGTGCTTAGAGTTGCCCCGCGCATCGCTCACCATAGAAACCCCAAGGGGCCAACCGGCCCTCTCGTTTCCATGGTCACCCTCTCGCTCTCTCAATCTCTTTCTCTCCTTCCCTCCCCCTCCCTTTCGTTTCCATGGAGACCCAGGGCCAGGGGGCCCGCCCACTCCATCCTCCGCGGCCGAAGGCGGGAGCCACTCACCAGCCTCCCCGCAACCAAGCAACCAAACATGGCGGTGGCGGCGGCAGCACCCCGACTTGGCTCCTCCGAGGGGGCCTTTCTAGACACCTATAATCCGCCCGAACGAACACCCTAACACCCCTCCGTGACGCCCCCACTCCACCCCGCCCCAAGGAAGCACATCCGGGGCAGCCGGAAGGAGGAGATTCTTAAGAGCGTAGGTGGAAGCACCCAGAAAGTGGACCTCACGTCCCAGCATGCAGCGCAGAACAATTCGGGTTCGTTTCCAAAGGAATCGCCGCTCCGGAGGCCGAAGAGTCTATTGGGAAATGTAGGCTTGAGCCTATCAAGGGGCGGAGGGCGCGTGTGCGCACAGAGATAGCGAAATGAGCTTCCATTGGAAAACTGAACTGGTTTTCTCTTCCGACTCAGGGGTTGTAGGGGTTCCTCCTTCCCGGAAAAGAAACTTACGGATGCCGTTTTATTATCTCCCAGCAAATAGAGATGCTATTGTTACCCGTTCCTACTGTCAAGGGAGTGCGCAAGCTTTCTGATTTCACAGAATTCTTCAGATGCACAAAAAGCATCAACATGCATTTATCATTTTCCCCCCGTCCAAATAATACTTCTGCTTTAGTGAGAGCAGGATACCAAAAAGCGGGCTTATTGATCCAATTTCTGTCAGCTTAGGAAAGCGGGAGTCTTTTTAATTCTCCTGAAGCAGAATGAAATGAAAAGGTAGCCCATCCTTGTGTCAAAGGAACACAATAATGTTAATGTATTAGAAAAACTTACCCTAAAACCTAAAAAGTATAGACTTCTTTAATCAGTTCTCAAATTAAAAAACAAGGAAAAATTGATATTTTAATGAATTAATGATCTTACATACTTGGACTAACAGAGCAGTTTGTTTACACTGCTTGCTCTGCTTTATCAACAGCTAAAAAAGTAAAGAAATAAATTGACTGATGTGAACACAAGTGTCCCAAACAAGCAATCTTAAAATTAAAAATACACATACTATTCCAAAATATTTTTATTTAATCACCAAATTAAACACATTCACATTTTTTCTGACAAGTAGTTTATCTTACATACATCTCTAACACATCTTAAATCTTTTTTTAAAATCTTTTTTAAAGGTTTAAAGACTCTTGTTCCACTTCAGAGGTGAGGATGTGACTGATCCTACTTTATTTTTTCATCATGACTTTTTAGATGTAAAGTACATGTTTTTATACTTTGGATCTTCAGTTTTGTTTTCTGGGGTTCTACTGATTTTTCCCCTTTTCTTGGTTGAATGGGTTTTAATTATAATAATAATAATAATTTATTAAATGTATATGCCACCTCATTCCCAGTGACTCTTTACTACTTGATATTGTTGTTCTAAGCCAAATTATGGGCCTCTCAACATCTAGACAAACCTTCTAAATAAATTATTAAAAGCTAACTGCATTTCACCAAGACTGTAATTCACTAACAGCAATTCGTCCAGCAGTTCGTCTCATTTCACTTAGAAATCTTTTTTCCATTCTGGCGGTGCTGATGGTGGAGTGTTGCAAGTGCACCCTCAGCCACAGAAGTTCACTGGGTGACTTTCTAACAGTTACTCTCTCATCCCAACCAATAAGTGCTATATATACCACACTGAGTTGCTGGAAGAAAGATAGAATATAAATATATAGAAAATAGAACTGTGCCTCTTATTTTAGGTGTCAAGATATGACTGCTTTAAGAAGTTGATTCAGTAGTGCAACTGTTAACACAGCCACATCTTTTTTTTTCAAGCTGACATGGAAGCTTGAAAACAGGTAAGTTGCTTTCATAAATAATAAAGATGTTGCAGTCCATATCACTGCTTCTGAATAATTTCTGAACGAATGCACAACTTTCAAAGAGAAACTGGGGGGGGGGGCGTGGAATGAAATAAAAGGGGGGCTGCAGGAGAGGAGTGAAATAAAACTGGCCAGTCCAATCATCTGATTCTACATGCCATTTTACATTAAAGCAAGACTGTATCCAAAAAAATCACTCCTGCAAAAGAGAACGAAATGCTAGAGCCTGTATACATTACAGACAAATTTATATCATTTCATTTTTTTTAATTTAGTCTGCTCTAGTAATAAAGGGAAAGAGTTATGAGTTAAGCGGAGTGGAACCCTGCCTGAATTATGGTAAGCCTGATTCAGTCACAATATCTGAAATTTCAAATACCACAATGTTTTCAAATAGGTTTTCAATCTTAAAAACTAGCTACCTGAAAATAATGAAGCCCATCTTCCAAGGAAATAGAATCCTGCATGAAATAATGTTCTCTTTCTGCATCTAATCAAATCTGTCTCCCTTACATGCAAAACTTATCTCTGCTTGTCATTTAGTTCACAAACTTACACAATAGCAAATACCTATTTAATACAGAGGAAATTTACCAACTTTCAAACACAAAAACTAAAATAATTTTTAAAAATGTACAAAAATATCTTTTATTAAAAGCAGTAGTTTTTGAAAAGGACAATACTACCAAACCAAATGAAGTTCAACTGTTGACAGAAGCAAGGAAAGATTACTCTGAAAGCATTTACAATATCAGCAAGTTGGAAATTCTTATGACAAAAAAAGCAGTATAATTCTCAGGAAGCCGTAATTTATCGAAGTCTGTCCCAGCGCCAGATACTGGCATCATCACACACAGCTATAAGGATACTACTGTCTCTGCTAAAACTGGTTTGTCGAATAGCAGCAGCACATTTTGGATGAGTAAGAGTTGTGCACCTATTAAAAGAAATTAAGTGTATTTTAATACTCGTATTTCTCTTTGCAAAAAAGAAAGCACCTTGGACAACATAGAAGATAGAAAGGAGCTAAATCTTTTAAACTTCATTTTAAGAAGTCATCTTCCCCCAACCTCACTGAACACTTCGTCTACACTCATAAAGTAGATCAAAATCTAATGAATTTGCAAAATAGGATTCTGGTTTAATAATTTCAGATTGAAGACATGGGTGCATTCAAATAGAAATATTTCTCCAGACAAAAAAAGCTGATGCAAGAAAGGAGGAAAAACATACTTCTACCATGTTGTTGCAAATACACTGTAATCTAGGTTTCAGATTTTTGTAATTGTGCTAACAGTGTGCTCTGGTAAATGGTCCTGAGAGGTTTACATCAGGTAAATCTACACCATCTATAAGGCTGAGGTTCTAGAAATGCTTGATTTGTTATATGTTCATGAGAGAATCACGAGGTGGTGATTTTTATCTGTTAAATACTGGTTTAAGGAACCTCAGATGCAATGGCCAAAATTTGTCAATATATCATATGCTCCCATGCATTCATAAAGCCCAGCCACTATTTCAAGCACATGTAAAAGGTGAAAAATCCACATGGACAAAATCCCATTCTCATTTTACATATGCATAAAATGCAAAAAAATATGCATGTGTAAAATTTTGTTTGGATTTAGCAGGACACCCTGCTTTAACAGACACCCTTTCCCTCCATCAGTTCATTAAACTGAGGGTCTACTGTGTATTTTTAATCTGAAACAAAGGGAGATCATACACAGATTAAGTTATTAAGGGGTGCATGTGGGTGCCTGTATCCCAGTAATATCTCCCTTTATTGTCAGAACAAAAGGCATACCAATTGCACTCTGAAATGTAAAGGTTTAATAAATAATTAAAATGGTATTTATCATATATTTCCAACTACAATTCTAAACATTGTGGTTCATTAAAAGGTATATATGCATGCTTCACAACGCTTACAAGTAAGAACCGAGACACTGTCAAAGATTCACACAAACTCACTTGGCCTTATGTGGGTCTTCTACCTCTAAGTCCCATACATAGAGTTTGCCAGCTTGATTGCCCAATGCCAGCATCTGGAAGAGAACAGAAGATACATGCAGGCAATCCTGTGCCACAGACACAAGGATCAAAGGATCTAAAAGGGGTTGCTCAATATCCCAGTCTACTTGTTTGTGGCACAGAGATGTTGTAATCAATATCTTCTTAACTTTTCCTCAACGAAGATATATTCAAACCCTTCCTGTTCAGGCAACTCAAGTAAGTGCCTGGAGCTTAACCCCTGCTCCAAATAAATTGTTCAAGCTATATACTACATTTTAACAACAGAATTATCACTCCACATGTTTGTAAGTATTTTGAAGCAAGGGCTTTATCCATGGTCCTGAACTATGGTTTAGTAATGTGTAAATGAAATTTAGGTTTGTGACTTTCTCCCTTCTTCTCTTTCAAGGCTATTAGAATAAAATATTTTCTACGACTGAACATTTTTAACTGAAGTAATTCATAAAACCCTATACATTATGGTTTAGGTCACCCTTCTCCTGCTCAGTGCTCTCCAGAAGTGTAGACTATTGCCTTGAAATTGTAGTTCAACACATCTGCAACATGCCAGATTGGATAAGAGTCTGCAAAGTGAAAAAGCTGTTGTAATTAATACTTTTGGGGTCTGCATATACAGTAAGCTACAGAGCTGGTTTGGTCTAGGGCAAGGCTGGCTGGGGAATTCTGGGAGTTGAAGTCCACACATCTGAAAGCTGCCAAGGTTGAGGAACACTGGTCTAGTGGTTCAGGCACTGGACTAGGAATGAGGAAGGCTGAGTTCTAGCCCTGCCTTGGGCATGGAAACTGGCTGGGTGACTCTCCTTGGTCCTAGGAAGCAAGCAATGGCAAACCACTTCTATAAAATGCTGCCAAGGAAGCTGCAGGGACTTGTCAAGGCTGACTCAAGGCATCAACTATATAAAACTAGATTATCATATACTAATATGGTCATAGCTTACTACAGTCAAGTATGTTCTCTATTAGGAACATATGTAGATCTTGAACTGCAGAAACCTTTTTGGTTGTGGGTTAAAAAAACCTGGAAACATCTAGCATTCTTCATGTTAGAAAGACATCTGAAAACATGGGATCGGCACAAAAGCGAGCACCACTGATTGGTGCGAATGAAGTGTGACTGAATTATCTGCTCTGTTGACTTACTCTTCTCATTCCATTGCCTATCTTATTTTAAACAATTGAAATGCTATTCCTGTTTCCCAGAAAAATCATCTGAATTACATCCCCCAACTTGCATGTGGCCTGCGCCGGGCCTCCCTCAACCCCCTGCAGCACCCCTGCACTCCTTATCTGGGACTTCCCCTATTCCCACTTAACAACTTGTGCATTTTGGGGTTACGACAGCAACCGGGACTGCCTAAATTCCTGTCACTAAGTGATAAGGTCATGTGACATCCCGGTTCCAATGCTATCGTAACTCAAGGACTACCTGTAGTTTCTCAATCACCCATATAACACGAAGGCATTCAGTAATGAAGACCACAGGGCACCAATCTCCATAGGACAATCTCTAATCACACCATATTCATTAAACCCCCAAAGTCCTGCCTCTCTTCTCCAGCACTATGGCATATTATTAACTCAGTCACTCACCCCATTTTTTCTATTCAACATTAATCCCTATACGTAGATGGGCTGTTTAAACCTGATGAACCCTTCACACACTCGCGCTGCTTCACAACACCCTACATTCAATTAAAGCACTGGGCTATTCCTTATGCTACTCTACTGCTTAATCTTTTATGATTTTTACCTTTTGCCAGAAATCCATAGAAAACCTCATATACCAAATATCACATTGGCTATAATCAAATCGCCCTAGAATAGTCACATTAGACTCGCTGGGCTTAATTTTATCTATATTGTCTTCCATTTTGCCAGGTTTCCAGCATACAATGGCATTTTCACAGGACTGCAGAGAGAGAGAAAATGAAAGCAATTATTAGTGACAAAATGTTCTCACTAAGCCAAACTGCAGCTAATATGAAACGTAGAAGAGAATATATGTAGCTCAGGGTTGAGCTGTGGAGTCCTTGGAGTTCTCTGAGCTTGGTTGTTTTCTTGCAAACATTTTGTTACCCGGCTAGCAAGGAGTCCACAATATGAAACATTTAACATATGTTAACAATTGTACTTTACTTTGGAAAGAAATAGCAATGGAGTGTGGGTCTATACTCTTCAAATTATTTACTTCAGACAGTAAACAGCTTTGAAGCTGTCTTCTAGATACCAAAACATATAATGTAAACAAACAAGTGTTTTAAAATGGAAGATACCATACCTTGGAAAGGATCAGATCACCCAGCCATCGCACACAGTCTACATAATTCCTATGTATGTCTCTTGTAGAGAAGTCAGGAAAATGAATCTTTTGAGAAACAAATGGCCTGCAGACAAAGAAGAGA